TATGTACCCAACGCACTAGAAGACCAGTTCTTAAAGCCTTTAGTCATATCCTTATTCTAGTCCTCCTCTGTTCCTCTGGTGATGTAGAGGCTAACCCAGGCCCTGCAGCCCCCAGTATCACTCCTACTCCCCAGGAGCTATCATTTGTTGACTTCTGTAACCGTAAAAGTCTTGGTTTCCTGCATGTAAATATCAGAAGCCTCCTTCCTAAGTTTGAGTTATTCACTGCGTTAGCACACTCCGCCAACCCTGATGTTCTAGCAGTGTCTGAATCCTGGCTTAGGAAGGCCACCAAAAATTCTGAAATTTCCATCCCCAACTATAACATTTTCCGTCTAGATAGAACTGCCAAAGGGGGTGGAGTTGCAATCTACTGTAGAGATAGCCTGCAGAGCTCTATCATACTATCCAGGTCTGTGCCCAAACAGTTTGAGCTTCTACTTCTAAAAATCCACCTTTCCAGAAATAAATCTCTCACTGTTGCCGCTTGCTACAGACCCCCCTCAGCCCCCAGCTGTGCCCTGGACACCATATGTGAATTGATTGCCCCCCATCTATCCTCAGAGTTCGTACTGCTTGGTGACCTAAATTGGGATATGCTTAACACCCCGGCCATCCTACAATCTAAACTAGATGCCCTCAATCTCACACAAATTATCAACGAACCTACCAGGTACAACCCTAAATCCGTAAACATGGGTACCCTCATAGATATCATCCTGACTAACTTACCCTCTAAATACACCTCCGCTGTCTTCAACCAGGATCTCAGCGATCACTGCCTTATTGCCTGCGTCCGTAACGGGTCCGCGGTCAAACGACCACCCCTCATCACTGTCAAACGCTCCCAAAAACACTTCAGCGAGCAGGCCTTCCTAATTGACCTGGCCCAGGTATCCTGGATGGATATAGATCTCATTCCGTCAGTAGAGGATGCCTGGTTGTTCTTTAAAAGTAATTTCCTCTCAATCTTAAATAAACATGCCCCATTCAAAAAATACAGAACTAAGAACAGATATAGCCCCTGGTTCTCCTCAGACTTGACTGCCCTTGACCAGCACAAAAACATCCTGTGGCGTACTGCATTAGCATCAAATAGCCCCCCGCGATATGCAACTTTTCAGGGAAGTTAGGAACCAATATACACAAGCAGTTAGGAAAGCAAAGGCTAACTTTTTCAAACAGAAATTTGCATCCTGTAGCACTAACTCCAAAAAGTTTTGGGACACTGTAAAGTCCATGGAAAATAAGAGCACTTCCTCCCAGCTGCCCACTGCACTGAGGCTAGGAAACACTATCACCACCGATAAATCTACAATAATCGAGAATTTCAACAAGCATTTTGCTACGGCTGGCCATGCTTTCCACCTGGCTACCACTACCCCGGCCACCAGCTCTGCACCCTCCGCTGCAACTTGCCCATGCCCCCCCCCCGCTTCTCCTTCACACAAATCCAGACAGCTGATGTTCTGAAAGAGCTGCAAAATCTGGACCCCTACAAATCATCTGGGCTAGACAATCTGGACCCTTTCTTTCTAAAACTAGCCGCCGAAATTGTCGCAACCCCTATTACTAGCCTGTTCAACCTCTCTTTCGTAACGTCTGAGATCCCCAGAGATTGGAAAGCTGCCGCGGTCATCCCCCTCTTCAAAGGGGGTGACACTCTAGATCCAAACTGTTACAGACCCATATCCATCCTGCCCTGCCTTTCAAAAGTTTTTGAAAGCCAAGTCAACAAACAGATCACCGACCATTTCGAATCCCACCGTACCTTCTCCGCTATGCAATCCGGTTTCCGAGCTGGTCATGGGTGCACTTCAGCCACGCTCAAGGTCCTAAACGATATTATAACCGCGATCGATAATAGACAGTACTGTGCAGCCGTTTTCATTGACCTGGCCAAGGCTTTCGACTCTGTCAACCACCGCATTCTTATTGGCAGACTAAATACCCTTGGTTTCTCAAATGACTGCCTCGCCTGGTTCACCAACTACTTCTCAGATAGAGTTCAATGTGTCAAATCGGAGGGCCTGTTGTCTGGACCTATGGCAGTCTCTATGGGGGTGCCACAGGGTTCAATTCTTGGGCCGACTCTTTTCTCTGTGTATATCTATGACGTCGCTCTTGCTGCTGGTGACTCTCAGATCCACCTCTACGCAGACGACACCATTTTGTATACATCTGGCCCTTCATTGGACACTGTGTTAACAAACCTCCAAACGAGCTTCAATTCCATACAACACTCCTTCAGTAGCCTCCAACTGCTCTTAAACACTAGTAAAACTAAATGCATGCTCTTCAACCGAACGCTGCTTGCACCCGCCCACCCGACTAGAATCACTACTCTCGACGGGTCTGACCTAGAGTATGTGGACAACTACAAATATCTAGGTGTCTGGTTAGACTGTAAACCCTCCTTCCAGACTCACATTAAGAATCTCCAATCCAAAGTTAAATCTAGAATCGGTTTCCTATTTCGCAACAAAGCCTCCTTCACTCATGCTGCCAAACATGCCCTCGTAAAACTGACTATCCTACCGATCCTTGACTTCGGCGATGTCATTTACAAAATAGCCTCCAACACTCTACTCAGCAAATTGGATGTAGTCTATCACAGTGCCATCAGTTTTGTCTCCAAAGCCCCATATAATACCCACCACTGTGACCTGTACGCTCTTGTTGGCTGGTCCTCACTACATATTCGTCGCCAAACCCACTGGCTCCAGGCCATCTATAAATCACTGCTAGGCAAATCCCCGCCTTATCTTAGCTCATTGGTCACCATAGCAACACCCACCCGTAGTCTGCGCTCCAGCAGGCATATCTCACTGGTCATCCCCAAAGCCAACACCTCCTTTGGCCGCAATTCCTTCCAGTTCTCTGCTGCCAATGACTGGAACGAAATGCAAAAATCTCTGAAGCTGGAGACACTTATCTCCCTCACTAACTTTAAGCATCAGTTGTCAGAGCACCTTACCGATCACTGCACCTGTACACAGCCCATCTGAAATTAGCCCGCCCAACTACCTCATCCCTATATTGTTATTTATTTTGCTCATTTGTACCCCAGTATCTCTATTTGCACATCATCTCTTGCACATCTATCATTCCAGTGTTAATACTAATTGTAATTATTTTTGCACTATAGCCTATTTATTGCCTTACCTCCATAACTTGCTACATTTGCACACACTGTATATATATGTATTTCTGTTGTAGTTTTGACTTTGTTTTGTTTTACCCCATATGTAACTCTGTGTTGTTGTTTTTATCGCACTGCTTTGCTTTATCTTGGCCAGGTCGCAGTTGTAAATGAGAACTTGTTCTCAACTGGTTTACCTGGTTAAATAAAGGTTAAATAAAAAAAATAAAAAAAATAACATGTATTGACTCAGGGGTGTGAATACCTATGTAAATTATATATTTCTGTTTTTCATTTTCAATAAATCTGCAAACATTTCTAAAAACATGTTTTCACATTTTCATTATGGGGAATTGTTTATAAATGAGTGAGAAAAAAACAATATTTCAGTCATTTTGAATTCAGGCTGACACACAACAAAATGTGGAATAAGTCAAGGGGTATGAATACTTTCTGAAGGCACTGTATTTGTCATGATTTGTCATACATTTTCCACCTATGTGTGTAGCTGTAATTTAGTTGTGCCTAAGAGTAATTATTTCTTCTCTACAGCATCTCAGTACATGAACTCCAAGAGGAAAGCAGAGACCTGGAAGAGGAACAGACGACAGCTGGTGAGTGTCATAGAGCTCTGGCTACCTTCAGTCACTACTCTGCTGGAGGATGGGTCTTTACCTTAAACCTCCTCATAAACACAACAGGGATGACTGTAGTTGTTAATGGTATAAGGTTTCCCAATTACCTCTGTTTTTTAAATGTGTTGGTTGTCTGTTGTGTTCATTTACTCATAGGAAAAAAAGTGTTATCTCATGTGAAAGAGGAAAGCTGCTCCAAAAAAATGAATTTTGTCATGCTAGAGAGCCTATTGTTCTGTATAGACTAGAGTCACTAGATGAAGTGAGGAAGGCCAGCGTAGGAGCGGAGATACAGTACACATCTGGTGTGCAGGTGGTTGGAGTCCTGTCCCTGTAAGGGGATATACAGCACACTTACTGTTATGCAGCGTCAGTAACATTTCCGCAGCAAGTGTATGGCATGGTTAGAGCAACATCTGTGGTCGACTCCATTTTAATTTGTTCAATTCAGGACTTTGCTGGAAATGCACATTTAACTTGTGAGCTCCAGGTTGTTTTACTGTTTGGGCTGTGGCTAAAGCAGGGTGTTCCCAGTCTAAATGTGGCGCAAGTTCGCACATATATTATGACGGGATTTTGACGTTTTGGTTTGTTCTGATGTTTGGCTGGTTTTTTTCCGACTAAGACCCCTCAACATTTATTATAGATTTCTTGAATTATCTAAGATTAATTCGGACTATTTTGAGCAGTTGTTACTGGCTATGTTGTTGCTACGGCGTCTCAAGAGGGACATACAGTAATATTGCAGTAAGAACCTAGTCTGCAGGCACCTTAACCCTCTCTCCTCTTCTCTCCCTCTCTCCTTTCCCCTCTCTCCTCTCCCTCTCTCCTCTCCCCTCTTCTCTCCCTCTCTCCTTTCCCCTCTCTCCTCTCCTCTCCTCTCCCTCTCCTCTCCCTCTCTCCTCTCTCCTCTCTCTCTTCTTCCCCCTCTCTCCTCTCCCTCTCTCTTTCCCCTCTCTCCTCTCCTCTCCCTCTCTCTTTCCTCCACTCTCCTGCTCTCCTTTCCCCCTCTCCTCTCCCTCTCTCCTCTCCTCTCCCTCTCTCCTCTCCCTCTCTCCTTTCCCCCCTCTCCTCTCCTCTCCCTCTCTCCTTTCCCCCCTCTCCTCTCCCGCTCTCTTTCCTCCACTCTCCCTCTCTCCTTTCCCCCCTCTCCTCTCCCTCTCTCCTTTCCCCCCTCTCCTCTCCCTCTCTCATTTCCCTTCTCTCCTCTCACCCTCTCTCAGGCATTCTCCACTGTGGGAACTCCAGACTACATTGCCCCAGAAGTGTTCATGCAGACCGGATACAACAAGCTCTGTGATTGGTGGAGCCTGGGGGTCATCATGTATGAGATGTTGATTGGTAGGAGGGATATCTGTTGATTGCAAACGCAGGCCCTAACTTAAGAGTGGCATTAGCAACTGAAACCTTTGCGTAAATCATGCATTGATGTCAGTTCGATGCAAGTTATGATTGAATTAGGATTACTGTCTAAATGTCCCTGTCTCTTCAGGCTACCCCCCGTTCTGTTCGGAGACGCCCCAGGAAACCTATAAGAAAGTGATGAACTGGAAGGAGACTCTGGTGTTCCCTCCAGAAGTACCTATCTCAGAGAGGGCCAAGGACCTCATCCTCAGGTCAGCACCAGTACTACATATCAACATGTTCAAAAAGAGAGCCAGATTAATAAACAGTCTATAGCTTACTGTACAGCATGTTGCTCTAGAGAAGAATGAACATCAACTAAGTGGTTACAATGTCATCTCAAGCTAATTCTGTATCTATGGCAGGCACACTTCTATATCCCTCTGTGGTTGTTCTCAGGATCTAAATGTGTGTATTTTACTGCTTAGGTTCTGCTGTGAGGGAGATCATCGGATCGGGGCAACAGGAGTGGAGGAGATCAAGAGAAACCTGTTCTTTGAGGGAGTCGATTATGACCACATCAGGTACACAGGGACTACTAACAAGGAACAGTTTATATCCAAATCAATGAGGTTTTTATACCTCAGTGGCCCAAAGGTCCAGGCCTCACTACAGTTTTTGCATTTGTCACCCAACACAGGGAGAGACCTGCAGCGATCCCAATTGAGATCAAAAGCATCGATGACACGTCAAACTTCGATGAGTTCCCTGAGTCAGACATCCTTTCACCCACAGGTGAGAGAAAGACATTTTCAGCAGAAACAATTTTCCTGTGTCTCTGTTTATTATTATTCTGACTGTGTGTGTGTGGTTGTACAGTACACCCTGTGACTATCAACTATAAAGCTCTCTCCCTCTCCTTTTCTATTCACACTCCCTCCTTCGTCACTCTCCTTCTCCTCTCCCTCTTCTCTCTCCCAAGCTGCAGCAGCACCCACCAAGTCTCCAGCAGCAGCAGCTGCAGCGGAGGCTGACTATAAGAATAAGGACTGGGTCTTTATCAACTACACCTACAAGCGCTTCGAGGGCCTGACAGCCAGGGGAGCCATCCCTTCCTACATGAAGGGAAGTAAGAGATGAACTCTGACCCTATAACTTGCGCTGCAATGACCTACTGCCCCCCTCACCTCCCCGCAGCACCCAGATGTCTTCACTTCACTATTCTGTTTCATATTACGACAAATATAAAAACATTCTAAATATCAGTTTATTTCAAAAGTTAATTTAAGCTGTGTTTATTGGGCAAGTATATTCCCTGCAGGCCTCCTGAACCAGGATTCATTATACCCTGTGAATAAATGGTTGTAACCACTGTTTGGCTTTTCTGCTAATGTAAAACTTTATCTTAAAAACCGGGATAGCAGTTTTGATTGAATAGGGCCCAATGTCTCAGAGCTGAAGCCTGGCTCTAACTTTTCCAGCAGCACTGAACTCTACTCTGTACAGCCTTAGAGCAGCCCCTTCAGAACCTTATCCCCACTCCTCTCCTCAACCACTCATACTGTTCATAGGAAAACTTCTCTACTGTTCTTTGGGAGCTGGCAGGTTCCCAGCAGTCTGTATCACTTCCCCTGTGACCTCATCAGATCACTGCTTGACTTCAAGGGAAGAGTTCGAAGATTGCTATTTTTAGGGTTCTATTTTGGGGATTTCTGTGATGTCACCAGTTAGAGTGAGTGAGAATTTTCAACAAAGGACAGAAAATTCCATCGTAGTCTCCTTACTCCTCAAGAGTTATAAGCAAGAACCACTTCTCCTTTACTGCCTTTGTTGTGCCCAGTTATCTTTATTTTCTAATTTTGTATAATACAGACATTTTCAATAAGGTTGATTTTAAATGCTGTTGGATTTAAATAGTACTAGTCTTCAGGGCTATAACGAATGCTGGTTGTGTGTCTATGTTGAGCTGTCTGAATGACACTGCCTTGACACAAGTTAACATGATGTCCATGTCTGTGCCTTACCCTAAGAACTACAGGAGCTGTACATTAGTTCAACATTTCAATTCCCCTTTTTTTCCATTTAGTATTTTTAACTCACAAAGGTACCACTGTTTTGTGAATAACGCTGGTTATTCATGATTTACGTGTACATTTTAAAACTTCCCCAAATATTAAATATGGAATTTCAATTTTCACATATGTGTTTATAGCACTTTCAGCACTGTTAGAGAGTGTGTGTGTGTGTGTGTGTGTGTGTGTGTGTGTGTGTGTGTGTAAACTTGGCCTCACTTTACACTTTACTGGAGTAATAACTACAGGAGACTTTTTACTAGATTAACTACTAAATTATCAAATTACTCTGCAATCGGGTAGTAGTACATGCAGCTATGGAACACTAACCATTTGTTCTCATTCTTATCATTTTCAAGAGAATACAATGCAAAGTGCTATGTAATTGATTATACTAAAGGTAATTACGAAGGTAATTCCCATATAGTTACCCAGTAATAATACCTGTGTAAAGTGTTGCTAAAATTATTTTTCTTTCCAGATGGACGACTGAATGATGTTGAAGTGTAGTTTTCCTCTCATTCCGGTTTTCACTCGAGTGCTTTAAGGTGTTTTTATTGCGGGAGAAGTAAGCCCTGAGCGGCTGCTTAGAATGATAGACTCATAGGCTGCGTTTACACAGGCAGACCAATTCAGGTATTTTTTTCACTAATTGGTCTTTTGACCAATCAGATCAGCTCTGAAAAAGATTTGATGTGAAAAGATCTGATGTGATTGGTCAACAGATCAAATAGTGGAAAAAAAGATACGAATTGGGCTGCCTTTGTAAACGCAGCCTTACTACTGTAGTGCTGTTTGAAAAGGTACACATGACAAACAGGCGGTACAATACTTTCCATTATGTCTGCTGATGTGTTTTTTAACAGATGTATCTTATATTTTTTATCAATGCTCACACCAAGCTGTTCCTTTTGAACAAGGACAAATATCGATATGCCTTTGCAAATGACTGCATGTATAAACCGCAATAATTTCTCTCTGCTGGATGACACACATACAGTATACTATGCATAGATGTGTGCATGTGTGTCTTATTGAATACTTCTGTATGAGGTTTTGAATGTTGTCAGCTCAACCACATTTCTCTGCAAAGGAGTACACATTTCTCAGCAAAGAAAAAAGCTTTAAATGCTGATTTAAAATTATTTCATCATTCAATAAAAGTGTTTTCCAACTCTGTGGCATACTGTCTGTGGTTTAATTTGTATGTCTTTGTCAGCACAGCCATCCCTTATATGAGATGTCAACGCAAAATCATAAAGGTAATTCTTTCATCAATATATTTATTCAAATTTCCTCTGCAGCTGTGAAATTCTTGGAACAAATTCTTTGAAGAAAAATGATGTACATAACCTTAAACAATAATACTAACGGAAACCTTCATATAAACAATGTACAAAGTATAAAATGTAAACAGCCATAAAAGGAAAAAGAACAGCTTACACACATACACACACACACACAAACGTAATATAACACATGGGGGCGGTGGTGGGTAAAGTATGAATAAGAAAACTGAATAGATACACACTAGTAGGTCTGGTTATATGCTGTAAACATCCTCCTTGTCCAAATCCGTGTTTGTATGTGTGCGTATATGTACAGACGTAGGATCTTCATTTGACCAATATTGTTGCAGCAAAAGAATCCTACAGCAACAGGATTTGAACATTCACGCTTTTCTGCCAATATAATGTTGCTTGATCAGTGGTTAGGCTATTAGCTGGCCAAAATTAAGCTACATTAAAAGTGCAATACTGTTAATACAACTGTGTGTTAGTGCGGGTTTCCAGTGAATTTATGTAAACAGTGACCAAATTAAGATCTAACATCTGTCTCTGTATGTGTACATTGGTTTGGACTGTACAGTCATTGAGGTTTGTTTGAATGTGTCTGTAAACATAAACATCCTGAGTGGGAGACAGGCTAACAGATGAAGGCCTCGTGTAGAAGTTGCCCCAAAACACAGATCTAGGATCAGTGCAACCTTGCCAATCCCTGACCTTAACCAATAGGGGGAATAAATTAACCTATACAAGGTCAACTTCTACCCTCTCCTCAACTGTCATTGGTGGATGGGGGTGGGGCTTGAGACTGGGGGCGGGGATCAGGGCTGATCAGCCTATCCAGCTCGTCGACCTGCGGGGTGGGTGTGGTTCGGAGTCATGTTGGTTCCCCCAGAGAGGCGATGAGGTTGGGGACACTCTTGCTGCGGACGCACTGGAAGTCCACGTGTCGACTCTTTCCTTCCTCCTTCTCCCAGGACAGCTGGATAAAAGGCCACTGCACGTAGTTATAGATGACCTCTGACCTCCCGCCCGGGCGCCGTTTCATCTTCTCCTTACAGGTGGGGTACCCTGGGATACAGGAGGACCACACACACATAATGTTCAGTATCTCTGGAGGGTTTTTAGATCTGAGGGATACTGGATAGATGTAAGCAAATGTTCCAATGCTATGTAGCCTATAGCATTGGAACACTTGGATTGCTTTACCTGGTTGTTTCCTTAGGATCTTTAAACACCAAAGTGGAAGGGGCTAGGAGAAGCGGCTAAGGGCCAAGGGGTTGTTTTGGGACATGGGAATTGACTCACCCTCGATGCCGATGCGTATGTTCTTCAGTCCTCTCTCCTTCAGCAGGGCTTTGGCCACATTTCTGTTCTCAATGTACTTGATGAAGCGATAGAGCTTGGTGCTGTACAGAACTGGGCACATTGAAGAGCGAACAGGAAATAATATCAAACAACGTGCTCACTCACAAACATATTCATAATCTTTTTCCAAAAAAGGTTGGGTTGCTAGATCCTCAAGAATATAAAGTATAAACATTTGACGAACAGCACTGCCCAAAAGATACATTTCAATTATCAATTTTGTAAATAATTTATTATTCATTATAATTACTCTGAGAGGGGCGTGAAACTATGGCACCTACTCTGGGAGTACTCCTCTCCCATGGGTGGAGGGTTGTCACAGTCCCAATCCACTATATCATCATCTGTGAGAACCACAATGTGACACTCCCTCTCCCCCTCCTGAGCACTGGACACCATCACTGGGACAACCAGCTCCCCTAGGAACACTTCAAACTGACGCTTAGCACCGTCGTTGGACAGCTCATGCAGCAACGCACCTGGGACAGGAACAGATAGAGGTCACATTATTTTAACTGTGACCTCTGATTTGTTGTTGTAGTTGATAGTTCACATACTCTTGTGCATGGCAAAATGAATATCTCCATAGTGAACATTCAAGATGAAGAAGACTAAGCAATTAAAAACAAATTACAGTAGTGCAATTTAGTTGTACATGCGATGTTGCAAAACATTACTCAACGTTTCGGTCTTGAACAGAGCCCTGGTCAAACCAGGTGTGACTGTGTTACTCACTGAGGTCTCGGAACTTGACGGTGCTGTTGTCAAAGTTAATATAGAGGTAGTCACACGCTTCCCTAAGCTCAGACACTGACACCCCCTCTGGACACTGCAGGATACCCCCTTTGTAAAAGTCCTGAGAGAGAGAGAGAGAGAGAGAGAGAGAGAGAGAGAGAGAGAGAGAGAGAGAGAGAGAGAGAGAGCGAGAGAGAGAGAGAGAGAGAGAGAGAGAGAGAGAGAGAGAGAGAGAGAGACGGGGGGATGAGAGAGAGAGAGAGAGAGAGAGAGAGAGAGATAGATAGATAGATAGATAGTTCCAAAAGGGTTCTTCGGCTGTTCCCATAGGAGAACCCTTTTTGGTTCCAGGTAGAAACCTTTTTGGTTCCAGGTAGAACTCTTGTGGGTTCCATGTAGAACCATCTGTGGAAAGGGTTATTCAAAGGCTTCTCCTATGGCGACAGCCTAAGGACCCTCTTTGGTTCTAGATAGCAAATTTTTTCCAAGAGTGTATCTTAAGAGAAACTCACCAGGATGACAAGTGCAATCACAGTTTATCTCATGGGTTCATACATTACATGACCAAAGTATGTGGACATCTGCACGTTAAACATCTCATTCCAAAATCATGGGCATTAATAGGCAGCTGCTCGGCCATGGAAACCCATTTCATTAAGCTCCTGATGAACAGTTCTTGTGCTGACGTTGCTTCCAGAGGCAGTTTGGAACTCGGTAGTGAGGACAGATGATATTTACGCGCTACGCGCTTGAGCATTCGTCGGTCCCGTTCTGTGAGCTTGAGGCTGAGCCATTGTTGCTCCCAGACGTTTCCACTTCACAACTATAGCACTTACAGTTGACCGGGGCAGCTCTAGCAGTGCAGAAATTTGACAAACTGACTTGTTGGAAAGGTGGCATCCTATGACGGTGCCACGTTGAAAGTCACTGAGCTCTTCAGTATGGCCATTCTACTGCCAATGTTTGTCTGTGGAGAATGCATGGCTATGTGCTCGATTTTATACACCTGTCAGCAACGGGTGTGGCTGAAATAGCCGAATCCACTCATTTGAAACCGGGCCGGCCGTCCCACAGAGACAGTGAGCCTATTAGCCTGGTGCCCTGGTCCCATCTGCTACCATCAGCCTCCTAACTAAGCCTTGAGAGGAGGAGGAGGAGATTACTGCAGTAGAGTCACCAGCGCAGCTCAGTACCATGCCAGCTCCTGCTCTGCTCAGTACCATGCCAGCTCCTGCTCTGCTCAGTACCATGCCAGCTCCTGCTCTGCTCAGTACCATGCCAGCTCCTGCTCTGCTCAGTACCATGCCAGTTCCTGCTCTGCTCAGTACCATGCCAGCTCCTGCTCTGCTCAGTACCATGCCAGCTCCTGCTCTGCTCAGTACCATGCCAGCTCCTGCTCAGCTCAGTACCATGCCAGCTCCTGCTCTGCCTCACCACTTCTCCCAGTTATCTGGATTGGGAATGAGACAGACAGAGGCAGGAGGGAGATGGGAACACTGGGAATAGCTGTAGGCAGCGTGTTGAAGTCGACCCACAATGCTCTCTGTCTTACATATCTGGTTGGGTCTCTCACAGTGAAGATTGTTCTGCTGCTAACAAACCTGGCATTCGTCTCCTGACTAATAGGGCAGTGACATCCCTCATGCACTTAAACTTGTATTCAGCTGAGACAAGAGACATCCAAAAAGTAACACAGAAATGAAGCAATACAGATTTGATGATGTCATCATCACATGTGTTGCAAGACCCGGGCAGAAGCAAATGTGAGAGGATGGCGACACAACACAGAATAGGCCTAGGCATTACTCTAGGTTTACTAGGAATAATGGAATAACCTGTGTAATAGACTGTCAAGTAATTAGCTCGTACTCCGGCACATTGACTCGGTTCTGGTACTCCCTGTATATTGCCATGTTATTTCTACCCATTATTGTTATTCGTTACTCACTGTGTATTTATTCCTTGTGTCACTATTTCAATGTTAAATTTTTTATCTTTATCTTTAACTCTGTATTGGTGGAAAAGAAGCTTTAAGTAAGTATTTCACTGTTAAAATGAGTATAATTGTTCCTCCTCATAACTCATCAGGCATCATACCAGAGTACTACCAGTAGAATAACCTATGTATTAATTACCCTTTAACTGACTAGTATTACATTTATTTTAAGACTAAATCATCATAGACATATGTAGCTCAAATCTAATCAAATTTGAGTTGTCACATGCTTCGTGAACAACAGGTGTAGACTATTATTTTATCTATTACATATAAAAAGCAGTGAAGGATTTGTAACAATGGTCTTCAATGGTGTGCACAGCATTCCATAGTACAGGTGGAAGACAGACAGGTTCTATCTAACACAATGATAACAAATTGTTTGATGGGATGTAAATTATTAAACTTTTCAGTAGAGCTGATCATATTGAACAGTGCACTGTAACATAACTGGTAGCCTAAGATATATGGTAGGCTACCCCAACCCATAAACTGGATAGCCCCGACCACATCAACAATTCTGTATTTGTCCAGCTGAACAACGGCATTGACTGTCGTATTAATTTCAGTTTGCGTCCAGGATGTTGATCATTTTCACTGTAGCCATCCCTGCTGACTTCAGATAGCAACTTGACGTTGCAGCCTGGTCTCATAGACTACACGTAACATAGTACATGTCAATCCGGGACTCTCAAATTACTATGATATGTTACGTTTAATATGGTTACGTAAGACAGAACAATGATGACGGGCATCCACAAATTAACCCATACCATACCAAATGTGACGTGTAACTGGATTTACTTAAAGAATAATACGAAATGCTCCGAGACCAGGTTACAGAGCTACGAATTACGCCACTCCATGTCTGGCGCTTAAGTGCCAGCATCACCTTCTGCATACATAATTACCGAAATACAGAGCTGTATTATAAAATACCATAATAACATTCAGATACAGTTGCAGACATATTATATTACCAAAACATAAGCTATACTCGGCGGAGAAGACAACGACTAACCACCAGACTTACCAGAATGTCTAGTGTTGACTGCTGTTCTCTATACCCGGTCTGTCACAAACAGAACGATGGACCCGCTGCTGCCAGTGCCAGAGCGCAGGCTGCAGGAATATGTTTACTGAAAGCGCCCGAGCCCATACCGTAAAAAGCAGATCAGTGCTCTCAAATCCAATTAGGCCTACTCCTGGTGTAGAAACCCAGACGCTCTCGTGAGGGAATTCCCAATCCTTTTGTTTCACCATGCAAAATTGCTACTGTAGGACTATCTATTTAATTTCCTCAACTTATGAATTATTTAATTAGGTGGGTAGGTGCTTATATTCATCCTATTTTTATTATAGCGAAGTGTTTATTATAACGCATGTGTTTTTTTGCATATCCCAACTTCCCCCGAGACACCCTCAGAGAGTGGGGTAATGGCCAGGGTCTGTCATTATCAACGGCCACCCTGGAACAATTAGGGTTAAGTGCCTTGCTCAGGGGCAAGTCAACGCTCTAAACACTAGGCTACCTCCCGCTCATGTGACCAACCATAAAAACCTCCAATAATTTGACTGGGAAAATTACAGTATTCTCACTTTATAAAATATTTTTTATTGGGATGACATGGTTGAAACTTTAGAGAAACAATACTGAAACAGAAACAGAGAGAAAACAATAAAATGTCTCAAATAATGTTATCAAAATGACCATGACAAAATGTCTGATAAAAAGTTGATGGCAGTAGTACATATTATAGATGAATGCAAAGCACCTCTGTTTAAAAAGCTCAGTGGGAACAACTGATTTTATCATTCAAAACCTTTTGGGATTCACGTTTTTACTTTGCCTTCTATTTTGCCTTCATCACATTACAGCTATTTTATTTAGCCTTTATTAAACCAAATAACAGATTCATCATTAAAAATACAATTTAAGTGACATACTGCTACCTCTCAAAATACAACCTAATCTATTTTAGACTGAAACAATAATGAATAATCAAAAAGGACATTTTCACAAAAGAGGCTGTAGGTTTCAACCAAAAGGCCTACCACAGAAAGAAAATGAATGATAATTTTGAAAAGAGAATAACAGACAAAATGGCATCAACAGAGATGACTTTTCACCCCTGGTATACTACACCATAAGTTGTCCATATCTGACTCATACACACTTTCTAGCCACAAATACGATTCCAACCACTGTCCCTAAACTTGCCATTCATCCTCATCTTTAACCACATCCTCTTATCTGCACTTTGTTTCATTCTACTGTAGCATCGCCAGCTAGTGGCTACCCTACGCCACAAGGCCTTTCTCCCATTTTACACTACAGGGTCATCCATACGGTCCATACTAGAGATTATGTACATGTTTGAGATGTAGGATAATTAAAGCAACAAAAAAAATCTAGGTATTGTGAAGATATGTTGATATGTGGAGACCTGGGCAGAATCTGTGTATCTTGAACATGCACGTTAGCTTTCTCCCATATAGCCTACAGAGATTGTCCTTATATGGACACTGTAGACAAGATTCAGCCCAGAAACATCCTGGTCCAGCCATGTCTTGCCTTGTCATCATGACAGAACTCAAAGAATACCCCCTGAAAAGTAACATCCTGACCCTGCAAGAATACTTAGAAAGCACACCCTTCCCTCCCTCCATGAGCTAATCACTGACACAACCATATTCAGCACCTACCCAACTATCGGTGGATCAGTGATTACTTCAAGGATGCGAGGGAACAGGGAAGGACACTAGTTTTCAAACAGGGCCAACCTTTTATGCCAGAAAAACTTCCTGAAGTTGAGACTAAAGAACATGTTAGTCGGGACAACGTGATGTTCGCCTGAACTCAACGTAAGTCTGCACAGTAGTCTGTACTGTGAACAAAATAAACATGGTAAAGAAAGTCTGCTCTTGACCAGGAAGAGTATTTACTCTTTAAATCAACCAAGAGAGAAATCATCCAAAATCAGAATAACACCACAACAATGAAGTCACAGGTGCCATAAAGCCTGCTTAACCATTCAGATGATATCATTCGCTATGAAGGCACCCAATAAGGACTGTCCTATTTGTAGAATGTGGCATTTAATGTCTCAGCACGTTATGTCACTCGATGACATGCTGCGTTGCGGGACAGGCCTATTGGCCTACACAAGATCGGTGGGTGTTGATTTGTTGGCCTTTCTCTGTGATCTGCGAGGGGGCCTGATTGGAGGTGTGGCGACCCTCCCTCTGCGACCATTCATAAGCTCAGTGGCGGAACTCTCCATGTCCACAGGGTCAAAGTTCAAAGCTTCGGCCATTTCCTGTTTCGCCACCGACACAAAACGAGGGTCCCTGGCCAAGCTCTCCAACCCCCCGTTTATCAGGACCTGGTAGAGGTGAAATACATGAGAAGAGATAGAGAACAGAGAGAGGGGATGACTCTGTAAGTGTCTGACATGTCAATGTCATTGATAAAATATGTATTTATGGAATAATGGAATTATGGAATATGTCATACTTATGGAATTATGGAATATATTATATGCCTGATCTCTCCACTCACCTCCTGTATGAGTGTGTCGAAGGAGCTGTCTGGGGCCTGTGCTTGGGCCTGCTGGGGGCTGGGGGTCTCTCTGGGAGTCTCAGGGTCCTGGCTGGGTCCAGCTACTGTCTGCAGATGCCAGTCTGTGGTGTCTCGGGGGCTTCTGCTGGTTGAGATGGTATAGACCTGTACCCTGTCATCTGTCTCATAGGGAAAGCTACAGAAGGTCAAAGAGTCAGTCAGATTGTTATTACTGTGTCATTTGACCTCTCAAGTAAGGAAAACAAACACACATACAAACGTGAGCACGAACGCGCAGACTCACCTCTCCCCGGCGTTGTTGTTGACATTGTTGTTGTTGGTTTTGTTAGGCTTTGTTGGGAAGAAGTCCTCGTTTGCATGGTAGGCAGGTGAGCTGGTCGCCTCCCCCTCGTCTGACATGCTCATTTGCAGGGGCCGCTGGCTGGTCACCTACATGGAGACACAGATGGCTGAGTTACCACCACGGGGAGAGGAGATTTTCCTGACCATGTGATCTGAAAAAACTCAAGGTCCATACAGTACTATGTAAAGCACTTTGAGTCTGAAGAAGGTTACATACTGTAAGTGGTAGCACTGAAATTATTGAAATTATGAAATTATGAAATTATTACCTGTGTAGCGTTAGGGTTATGGGTTCCTTCCTCCATGGTGAAGGAATCAACGTGGTTCCCAAACAGACCGCCCGCCCGCTGGCCACAGGAACACACAGAAAGGTACAACATTCACTAAAGAGAGTTTTGTTCTTTCTTCTCACTCTGAACTTGTCCTCCCTCCTCTCTTTCCACAGCCTCCCTGTCTCCCCCCAC